AAAATAGGGAAGAAAGCAAATCATTCCCAATTCTGCAGACGTTCTGACAGCTAAAGTAGGCATTAACAATTTGCAACACATGGCATGGGGGATGAAAGTCTCTGAGCTCTACAGCTGAGTTTCCTGGCTGAAATGAAGTAGCAGTTGAAGGTAGCTCAGAGAAAAAAAAAAAATTAATCTACCATATAGGAACAAAATGCCTAACATTACCAAAAAGTGGAGAAAGAATAATATCACAACTCAGAAATAGTGCCCATCCTGTCTTTAATATTGAATAATTCTGAGGGTTTTGAGCCTTTATAATGGGGATTTTTCTGACAAAGAAGGGTCAAGTTTTACAATATAGGTTTCTGCAAATCTAGAATAATCTCCTATTATGAATAGAATAAGAAAAAAAAAATTAATCTACCATACAGGAACAAAATGCCTAACATTACCAAAAAGTGGAGAAAGAATATCACAACTCAGAAATAGTGCCTATCCTGTCTTTAATATTGAATAATTCTGAGGGTTTTGAGCCTTTATAATGGGGATTTTTCTGACAAAGAAGGGTCAAGTTTTACAATATAGGTTTCTGCAAATCTAGAATAATCTCCTGTCATTTTCAATGAATTTGGTATGTAAAAATGATTTGGTAGGTAATATATTGATGCAGAACTAATAATTTTATCTTTTGATTGCTACAAGAGCTGGAGGAGTCAGACAAAGGTTCTTCTGGACTTTCCTGCAGAGCCCTACTCAGCATCAGCCATGCTGGTTGGGAAAAGCATTGGGAGCAGCAGCAGGAAGATTTGCATAGCCAAATCTCTGGGCAGTGAGAAGCGTTGCTTCTTTAAAGGACTTGTATTGAGCTCTTCTGATTTACAACAGAACTCTAAACTCATAAAAAAACTTTTGTTTTTCTTGCTTAGGCCTTCAGAGGGAGGGAAATTCATTTGTGTAAGTCGAATGAGTTTAAACAGAGAAGTAGCAGATAAATATTTTCAAAAGCTGCTGTTATAATTTACATGCATTAAAGATGTGGTCAGGTATATTGGGAGAGATATCATGTTTCTCTAAGACGGAAAACAGAGTCAAAACAACACAAAAAATTGCAATTGCTTAGAAAAATTGATCAGCTGGGTGAAAGAAATACATACTTGAATTTGAGTATTTTTCAATAATTCTCTGTAACTGCTATAGCAGCAAAGGCAATTAAGCAGGTTAAGTGGCATGTTATGTTGAATTTGAAAATAATTTTTATTTCCGTTTTGTAGATGAAAGCTAACATCTTCACCACTATAAATCTCTGAAACTTTTTTCTTCACTACTTAAACTGCTTGTTTTTGATTTGATTTCAACTAATAATTCTTAGAAGAGTTGACATAGCCATTGCTGTGTTGAATATAACAGGGAACTAAACAATTTTATTATTTTTTGTAGTTGGGGTAATAATAATAATAATAATAGACTGTGATATGGAAATAAAAGACCTGGGGAGATGATATGAATGACTATGAAAGAGTGATATGAAAGACTGTGTTATATCCAGATGACCTCCATTAGATTTGACCTTCCAGTTGTGTTTGATAAAGGTATTAGTGTCTTGTCTTCAGTATCTTTGTACTGGCATTCTGCTTTCACATACATTTAGGCTATGGAGTTCCAATTAAATTTTGTTTTAAAATTAATCATTGGGCTGACACCAATGAAATGGTGTAAGGAAAACTTGTACCAATGGCTGTTTTTCCTGGAGTCTCACTACTATCAATGACCTTCAACTGAGAGTAGTTTTGTGTCCGCTGCAGTTGTCACAGTGTTTGCATCATTTCAGTGTCCGCCAGACGCCTTCTCTTCCCTTGACATTGTCCCTCTGTGGGAATTTGGGCTGGGAGAGCAGGGCCTGGGCCTTGCAGCCGCGGGGGGGATGGATAATCAGGGGCTGGGCGTGCCCCGCGCCGCTCCCCGGCAGTGACATGAAAGTAATGCGTGCACAAGGGCTCTGCTGTGATCCTGCTCAGCCGCTGGACACAAATCGCAATAATTGGGTGGCCAGGCTGGGGCTGGCGTGAGCTGTGACGGCACGGACAAAGGGAACAGGAAATCGCCATACGGCGTCATGTGCTCCTTCTCAACCTGGATTCTGATTGCAGCTGTCAGCGTGGCATTATGGCTCCTGAATGCGCTGTTTTATTCAGCGCAGTGTGGGGGAGATGGTTTTTTTGAGACTGAAACAATGCTGGAAAATGATTGGCGTGAGGTTAACTTCAGGCAGGCTGCAGTTCCCGAGATTGTTGCATAAGAGACAGTAATATTGAATTATTGGCAAGGGGATTTTTGAATTAGTTAAAATGTGTGGTTTTCATCTTTGTCTTGTCTTAACGCTGAAGTGAGTTAAAAGTGCTGGAGATACAGCTGAGAGGGCATATTCCCTTAACTCTGGTTCTTTCTAGCTCTATAACAAGTAGTCTGTTTTTCTTTCATCTATTTACTCTTTTTTTAGTGCCATAGTTACATTTTTTTATGGCATTAAGGATGATAGTCCATCTTTACTGGTTTTAAATGCATTAGGAAAGGATGTTAAAATAGTGCGGCAGTAGAAAAAATACATTGAAGATAACAACAGACATACCATTCTCTTGACCAGTGAGAACAGGCATCACAATGGTTTCATATGCTCTTTTACTGAAAACTTTGGGGTTTGTAGGCATAAAATTCTGTATTTCTCAGGATTCAGAGATTAATTTCTTATCTGTATGCAAGTACCGTGGATAAACTCTTCTTGCTTTAATTTGAAAAAAGCTCTTCAGAATAATTAAATGTATTTTTCTTTAAGGTTTATGCTATTTAATGTGTATTCTTTAGCCTTTAATAGGGTTGGTATTGGCTTAGAGTCTCAAACTGTAATAATTTCGGACTCATCGTTCATGAATTAGTAGTTTTAAGGCTTTGCTAATGATTTTAGTGCATATGTATTCTAGCTGAACTTTCTATGTTGCACATTCTCCTAAAATTGAAAGTTATCTTTGTTTTTTCTCCTTTGAGAGCTTATAAAACAAGCAGAAATGTGTAGTGCTAGACAACAGAGAAGTAAAGTTCAACATAAATACATACATATATAAATAGGTATGGACTATATCACAACTTTGTTTTAAAAATCATTTTAATTGCACTACATCAAAGTAATCATAGGTGCATGGTGACTCATTTGTGTGTGTTCACATAAAAACATGTTCTGAGCAACTTTAGGTTTAGATTTTTGAAACTATTTGAATCCATCTTCTTACATGGCATCTTTGAAAAGGTGATATTTGCATTTGAAAAGGATGAATCAGAAATAAAACCAGATTAGATAGAGACAGACATTCTTTCCCCTCCCAAGTGTCTGGAGTCATTTACTGTAGCCATTGACATCTCATACGGCTTCAGGTGAAGTGTTTCCTCAATAAACTTGAGTAACATTTTTATTTAAGGAAAGGAGAAAAAAGGATCACAAGTGGAATGTTAGAAAGCTTTTTTGTTTGTTAAAGCCTTCATGCATACGTATATTGGTTCAGATTTTTTATTATTATTTTCACTAGTGGAAAAAAAAGTTTGAGATGCAGTCCACCGAAGTCTTGCCCAAATAGGACCTTTCTTCCCCTCCCCCTACATCTTGTCTAAATCCAAGACAACAGCAATAGTTTTAATGCTTCCTAACGTTGTCTAAACCTATACTGAACCTATAGAAGTGTCTCCTCTCTGGGGTGAAAATTTAATAAACATTAATTTTTACTTCTGCACACTCAGAATTATCTCCTTTGGCAGAGAGGAGAAATGTCCAATTTAGGCTTCCTCTTTAATTCTAGAATTTAGTAAACAGGTAAATAATTCTGCTTCAATGCACTGGAAAAATCTGAAGATCCCAATGGATAAAGACCCATCCCAGATAGTGAAGTGGCCAAGTTCTGAGTTCTGCTGAGGCTGAGGATGCTTGATCTTCATCCTAAGGGTCTACCTGCAGCAAAAAATGTTGGCTCCAAATGGTGATGAAGTTTATAATTTGTACACAGAATAGGGACTGAACCAAAAATCCTCGTTCCAATTTCTAGCAACTTCCCTTCCTGTTTCTATCAACCAGATCTGACTGCCTGCATCTAGTGCTAGAGAGGATTTTTCTTTAGGTGGTTTCTTACTGGAAGATATTATCAGGACAACCATCTGGAACTTCTATCAATATTCATTGAGAGATTTGTGGTGTTGGGCTGCACAGGGGATAACAGCAGAAATTCTCTTCAGTTGTGTGATATTTAGTTATTAGATATTTACAGAGAATTGTATCAGCAAATTCTATGATCTGAAGGGTCACTGTAATATGTGAAAATCTACAAATCAGGTAATGATTATGTTTAGGATTATATCATTATTTCAAGTATAATTAGTGAGAGATTTGAAGTGCATGTACTTAATGAGTAGCCACTGTAATTTGCCTACATAGTTGTGCTTGCCCCTTGTTAAAAAGTTTTTTGTTGCAAAATTTAAATATGACTTGAATTGACCTCCATGTGTGTTGTACTAAAACTTGCAGTACTAACTCCTCAGTGTTCGAAACTTTAATGTTTCATGGGGAAAACAGAGAGGGGGCAGTGTGCTGTGAACGGGGAGGACATGAAGCAACCTTTCAACAAACAGCAGCTAGTGGGATAATTTCCATAGCTGTCCAAAATAACCCTTTTTTATCTATTAAAACTAGTTTGCAACTAGCTAAGATTCTGCTAAGACCAAAGGCTTTCAAAATGTCCTCACATGATTTACTGTCTTCCTTCGCTTGCAAGGAAGTTTCATTAGCAAAATCTCATTAACAGAATTTCATACAGAAGAGAAGAATCTGTAGTTCACTCGTGGGTTCCAACGGATTGAGTCTTTTTTCTTTTTTCTTTTTTTTCATGTTTATATAGGACATATTTTTGCCAAACTTCCGAGTTGTTACATAGGGAATCTTTTTCATTCTGTGTTTGTTTGTTTATTTCATGATTTATCAGGTTTTACCTGGCGTGATGATTACACACAGCATGTTATTGGTCAGGAACTCTCAACCATTCACAAAATCCACAGCAGACGCCCTGATGTATTTGCATCTGAAGGATCTGACACAGGAAGGTAAGTCTTCTGTAGTGTTTTTGCTTGGGTTTTGGAAAGGTTTGCAAATTATAAGAAAGAGGTTGGCCCAGAAGCAGAATTTTAAAAATCACAAAAGCCACTATCTATATGGTAAAGGTGTCCACGAGTGTTCAGGGGACAGAATGAATTAAAACCCTGGACCTTGTTCTTCTGTTTATCATCAGGTTAAGGAAATGCACATTCTATTTAAATTAAGGTGTCAGAATTCAAAGCATCAGGCCTTTCATTCAATTTATGCACTGTCTAGTGTCAGTTCAGCCATCCCTACCTATGACTGGCTTAAAAAGGCCAACTTATAGTGGCTCAGCTACAGGAGATATTTTATTCTGGACTAAGCATTGAATGACATTCTGAGTGACTAATTATATTTTCATAGTCAAAGTCTTCCAAAACATACCTATAATTTATTTGAAATCTGTAGATTCCTAGTGGTAGTTGCAAAATGTCTTTAGGAATGAGATATTCCTGCAAGTTCCCATGACAGAAAATAATGTTGGGGCATGGCTTGAAAGGTGTTGAAGGTTGACTTTGCAGTAATTGGTTGCAAGACACATCAGTAATTCTGTGGAGTGATGTGGTTGTAGTACCTGCAATTATATCATCTTCATATATAGTTACACATAAAAAGAGAGTCTTTTACCTGGTCTGTTCTGTCCTACAGGCAACCCAACCACACAAACCCCACAATGAAGTTTAAAGAACAATTAAAAATTAGAAATTTTGCTTTCTGTTATGTGATTTTAAGAAATACATTCTCAAAAGTAGTGAAATTGAAACAAAAGGGCTTTTTGTTAAAAAACTCATCATAGTGGGATAAATTTGAGCTTCTAGCCTTGATGGGCAAAATATTGAATGTTGGAATTAGATCTTCATGTACTGCAGTATGTGGTTTGCATATACTGCAGAAACACTTCCTCTCTAGATTGCTTTTTTTCTGGAAATAAAATGTAATTGATACTTCCCAGTGTCTTCAACTGTGTTTGCCTCACTTTGTTTTGATTTAATTCAGACTTTGACCCTGTATTTCACGTTTGCTGATTCAAAAGCATTTCTTAAAATCACAGCACCATTCAGAAGTGCAGTAAGGTAGAAACTTAATGTCTAAAGAAGATAGAGATCTAAAGATTACCATGAAGGTGATAACAACATGTGGTTGAATCCATAAACATGTTTTCACTGCTTAGATACACAAAATGTCAGTTTTGAATGGATTACTCTCAGTAGATGGTATCAGAAACGATCTTCAGTATCTTCTGGGGATTTTTTTTAAGAGAGTACCTAAAATTTTTATTCATGAGAGTAAGGCAAAATAGGCCACGATATCAAGGCCATATTCTGCAGTGTTCCACATTTATAGTAATATAAATTTTAAAATATAAGAAGACATAAAAAATTATTTAAGGTTTAGATTAAAAACAAATGCTCACTTTTAGGAATTCCTGTTTTTAACAAGTTTGAGATGTTTTATATTTTTAACTATATGTGTTTAAAAAAACTGCAACATTTTGTATATTGATACTTCAAGAACATCAGAATTTCAAATGAGTTCAAGTAAAGCAGTTCCTATTGTGGATAGATTTTCTGCAGTCACCAAGCTGTGCTTCTGAAAGCATTATCTTATGTGCCAACAGTTTAAAGCATTAATTGATTTTTCTGGTTGTCCATTTGCAACGTGTTTTGTAGGTCAGAGAACAGTAGGAAATCTGATGTCTTGTAGGTTCTGATCAAGTGTGTTGTATGTTCAGTGTGCTCAGTGTGCTTGCTAAAATCTTATCAGATAATAATTAAATAATTTAAAAAGCAACTTAGAGTAGGTATCTAATTATCAAAGAAACATTATGTCAGGAAGACCTTTTATTAAGGGTAACGTGTGTAATAAGACAATATGAAGTCATACTAATGAGTCATTAATCCCCACAGAGCTGGTGAGAGCAAGAAAATAGACTCAGACACTTGAAAGGTAAATTGACTTAGGCTAAATTAGTGCATATGAAATCTGATGAAACAGAAGACATGGATTTCATCTCAAAAAAAAAATGCTGAAACTGGGAGTTTGATTTCAAGATGAAAGTTCTTTCTTTGTTGGCTAACTGGAGTGTATGTGGTATTTCCTGGGTCCTTATTAAATTTCAAAAAACCCTCTCTTGAAAGAGGGCTCAAGATAAAGGAAAAAAGTCCATTCTGCACAGAGGGAATAAATGTCAGTTGTGTTCATTGGTGCAATTAGGCAAAACCACAAACGTTTCCAGCAAACTTCAATGTATGAAATGGGGTATAGTATTATTTCTGTAATAAAACCATCATTAAGTCAGTAATAAGATACTCTTAGCATTTAAAAGGGAGAAATTTATTCTAAAATGTGTGGTTTCTATTAATTGGGAACATTCCAGAAATAGCAGAGGTGAGGTGATTTAGACATTTCCACAAAAAAAAGCTTATAAAATGCTAGAGTTTGTAGGAAGTACATAATTATTTTTGTAGATAAATAATTATATATGGTATTGTCTTTATACTCTTAAGGTCGTTGTATGCAAAGTCATCTTTCAGAGCAAATTAGAACTGAAAATACTTCCAAATAAGTGCATAAAAAGAACTCATCTGACAGTCATTTCTCCTACTCACCAAGTGCTTTTATGTATTTGTCTTTCATCCATTTTCCAATATAAATTTGTCATAATTAAACTAAATATTTTAATTTAGTACCAATAATTGGTCAGTTAATGCATACTTATTCCTGAGTTAACAAGGTGATATAGTGGTGAACTACAAAAAATTTTTTTAATCTTTCAGATGTATTCATAGTATCTTATTAAAGTTGTCATCAAATGAAACATAAAGCTTTGTATTCTTTTACATTTTAATTGTTTAAATGTTTATAGCATAAAATATTACATCTAATGTGGAATGTAAATATGAGTGCAATTATTGTCTCCATAGAAAAATGGGAAATCTTAGATCCCAGATTTTACTTCAACCAACAGTGACGGTGACTATATATTGTAAATAAAGGTTTGAAAAGCCAACCTAAATCCTGTCCTTTGTCTGTGCATTCAGTTCCTATTCAGTTCCTGTTAGCTCCAGTGGAAATCCTTGGGGCAGAATTCGTTCTGGGGTTTTGTTTTGTTTTTTTTTTCATTTTCCATTCCTTTTAAAATTAGTGAAGAAATTAGAAGATAGATGTTGGAATTAATCAATGAATGAAAGGTGAGTGTTGACAACTGGGATCTTTCCTATGAAGAGAGCCTGTTTGGATTAGTTAATCTCTACTGAAGCAGAGAGCACAGTGCCCAGGTTTTTCTGAAACTGCAGAATAGTTTTGGTCTGGCTTTAAGCTGAAAAGGAGGTGGATAATGTTACCTGCATGTCCACACTCCATCAGAAGGCAGAACTTAGAGCTCTGGAATGAGAAAAAAATGCAAACAGCATGAGAAGGAGGCAAGACTGATGGTAAATTATATCAGGTTTGCTATAGTGCTCTGTGCAGCAACCCTTCTTTTTCCTAGAGTCTGTGTCCCTGGTGGGAACCTGCTGTCATACACTGGGGAGAAATGGAAGATTTTTCTGGTGTTTCAAAGTGAGCAAACCTGTGAGCACTGTTGGTTGCAGTGCCACCACAGTAAATTAGATTATTAATTACATTTATTAGTGTTAAATTAGTAGGGACACACATTTGGTACAACTGTGAGCATGGAAGGAAGTCTGTTAATTTTTGATTAAAGTATTATAATTAAACCCCAGCTTTGGAAAATATATAATGGTGCTCTCTCAGGCTGTGCCTCTACATTAGTGCCAAGATGTGGGCTGGTAGAATAAAATTTTATTTACAGTGGCACAGAGATGTTGAAAGTGAAATTCATTCACTGAACTGTAAAGCTCTTCCACCTGGAATTCTTCTTCACTGGAGAAGTGTGTGGGCATGTGAGTAGGAAATGGTGACACCAAAAGGTGATTTCCCTCAAGCAGCTTCACTCACAGGGAAGGAAGAGGCTGGGAACTTTCTCTCTGCTTTCTTGCACAAGGAATGAAATAGTTACCCATGCTGACATTTAAATTATCATCACCATTTACGTGTTGTTGAGATAGATGAGGACAGCTGGTAATAATTCAGATTCATTGCACACAGCACTCTGAATCCCATATAAACACCTCCACACTGCCATCATTTAATCTCATTTCTAGCTTTTCTTTGCAAATGTCACCAAAATCTGTCTAAACCACTCAGGAAGCACCACTATTCTGTGAATCCCAGGCACATGAGAAGATCAGAAGAGATATTTGTTCCATCTCATTATTCCCTTTTCAAGCTTTTCACTGGAGTTTACTTGCTCCATTATTTCTGCATATCCAGTAGTCTTTCTTCTATTCTTTGCATTAGTGCAGGGCAAATTTGGCATTGAATCTCATCATCATTCAGCAAGTTTTTTAAATCTTAGAACCATCTCATATTTCTTTGGGGTGCAATCTAATCATGTGCATTTTCTTTTTACAGGCATTTTCTTTGCTTTTGAATACGGCTTTGCATTGATGTGACATTTTATTTGATTTACTCTAGAATCATTAACTTTGATGCATGAAATAAATTGTTAATAGTGCAAGATTTTTTTGACTGCTTTTGCTGAAACATTGAATTTTCTATACTTTTGTGATTGCTAAGCTTTTGAGTGACTTTCCTGTTATGTATTGAACTACAGTGGCTTGCAGTGCCTTTTTAGTTGGTCACTTTGTACATTGGACAGGCTGGTAATTTTCTTTTCCTTGCTTTTCCTGTGCAGGACTTTGGGACAAAATGAAGATAATGAAAGAAATTATGATGTGGAAAATAATGTGAACTTGGCCAAGTCTCTTCAGCAATACCTTAAATATCTCAGAATTCTCTCCCAGTCTGCATCTAAAAATTTGTATCCAAGGAAGACAAGTGACAAAGCTTCTGTCAAGGTAGTATTTTTTATGTGGTTCTTACATTCTGTGATTTTGGCTTCCTTTTTCTCAGAGTTCTCATTTTTTTGAAATTTCCCCTCTGTCTGAAGACCAAGCATTGTTTTTTACTGTCTCCTCCAATTGATTATCATAAGTGCACTAAGTTTTCTCAAAATTAATCACCTTCAGCATTGTAAATGCTTCAGCTCGTCAAAGCTGGAGCATTTTAGCCTAATTAGGGATGCATTGCATGTGGTGAAGAAGGAAGAGTGGGATAAAGCTGGTAACATCTTAACTTGCTGATCTGAAACTCTGAACCTGAACTACTCTCCAAAAACCTGGCTGAACTATCATGTGAATTCTTGCTGGTGTTTGTGCTGCTTAGGGTACAATTCATATAATTTTTGAGCAGATTTTAATAATGGGTCTGACAAATTGTGCCAACAACATTTCGTACTTCTTATTGATCATAAGGAAAGCCTACAGTGACCAGTTAAGGATCATATGTATACTTAATAAATGTACAGATAGCTGGGAAGATAAAGCACAACCATTAAATCTTGAGTATTGACTATGTAAAAAACTACAAACATGCCTATTTGAGAACTAAAGCATTTTTCCCCTTCCTAGAGAAAATCTGTCTCACTTTAAGGTGCAACTTGATAAATTTATTAAAAATATTGGATTAAGGGGTCCCATACAACAGGCCCTGTATCTTTTGTTCAAAAATCAAAGAGTGCACTCTTTGATTTTAAAGAACTAGGCTGCTGTTACAGCAATCCTTTACAAGAAACTTTCTTTGCTATTTCAATACAGTATAAATGCAAAATTTGCCAAAAAATATGCTGAAGTTTTAGGAAAAATATCAGGTGAAGAGACTATAGTGCAAAGCCAAACTGCTTTAGTTTAGTTCAGGGAATAACTCAGAGGCACCAAATCTGCAACAACAACTCCTGGCAGCAGCACCAGTTGTAGCAACCATTTAGTCATGGTTGTTATTCTTGTCAGAAGCACAACTTCCCAGATTCTGACTGACTTATATACACTACTTGTGATTTATGCCACATAAATCTCATCTGGGGCAAGAAGAGCTTTCAGGCAGTGGCAAGGCAGCTCTGAGGAGGGATCAGGCACCACCTTGGTGCTGCTGTTCCTCCACTCTCCCCTCCTGGGTGCTGGCTGCAGTGAGGATGCTCTGTTTTGAATCACTGGCTTTCAACAAAAACTTGCTTGAGAAATATTTCAGTGGGTCTGGTGTTGTCATGCAAGTTCATAAATAATCCATATGGCTGAGACCTTCTGTGGGGAAGCCTGCTGTGATAACACCACCCACCAACCTTATCGAGTGTTGCCATGGAGATGGGTACTCTGAAGCCTGGGGGAGTGGGATAAAGAGGAGAAAATCTGGAAGTGAAGCACGTATAGGAGCAAACTGTACACTTCTATTTACTAAGGAGCATTTTGAAACAACAGACATTGAGTCAGATGTGTTACCTATAATTGAAAGTGAAAAAAAGAAGAAAAGGACAATTATTTTAAAAACTAATGATCAGCCATGAATTTTAACTGCTCCTGGAGATGTTTCGCTATCCTCGGCAAATAAAATCCAACTGTTCTTGAAAAAGCAAGAGGGACATAGTATTTTTATTTTTGTTCACTGTTTTGTTAGTGAAATAGCATTTAAACAAGAGACAAAACCAGAATTTTTGCTGCTCCAAGAAGCAGAAAAAACCCCATAAAATTTAAAAATTTGAAAAGAGAAGGCGGGAAAGTAACTGAATGAGCTACCTCAGATATGGTTGTACCACTTGAAACTGGAGATAACTACCTTGTGCACTTTAATTGCAAGCTTCAACAAAATATTGGTACCTTATTTTTGTACTTAATATATAGATTACAAACCCACATTAATAATTGTAGCAAGATCTGATCTTTTAAACTTTCTTGTCCTTTTCTAATTAAAATAAGCACAAGACAGAGGTACTTTACCCTACCTAGAACTGCAGCTTTTGGTCTTTGCCCTTCTTAAAAATAATTTTCTTTCAAGTATTTATTTACCTCTGTTACTTCATTCCTGCTGTTGGGGAGCAGGAGATGTAACACTGCTTTGGTTGCTTTGATACCTTACGTGCTGTGAAGTGTAGCTGATCTTGCAGATATTTAGTGCTTCTTGACAGACTTCCTGCGTGGATTCAGGATCCAGCCTGACATCAGAGGTCTCTGGCCAAATGTAAAATAAAGGAAGATAAAAGATAAAAAGGTTTTAAAATATTCCTTATACTCTGAAAGTGTTATTTCGTATATTCACATGATTATATTTTACAAACTTTCAGTCTTCAGTTGCCCTACTGTCTTCCACTTGTATTATCAGAATAAAACTACAGAGATTCAAAATTACTGAATAGACACCAAACACCCAGTTATGCAGGAATTTGTAAAATAAAACATCACAAAACTTAAAGCAGGTAACTCTTTTCCTATTTCCCTTGCTCAAGCAACTTTGAGCTTGAGGCTTGATACAACAGTGACAGAAATAACACCAGTAAACTTAAATCATGTGATTGACCAAAATTCTTATGGTGTCTATTATGTACTGCAAGAGCTTCTTCAGGTGATTTTTGAAGCACTTGAAGTTCATCACTAACTTAGAATTATTTCTCAGTATACAGGCAGTATCTACTGCAGGCTGTAATCTAGCCAGCTGATAGTGACTCTGCCAGGAAATAAATAGTAGCAAATCAGAAGTTTGATGTGTCTGTTTCCTGAGGGTTACAGTTGTAGAGAACATTTCACTTTAGTTGAGCTGAAAAGAGTTGTTCAGGAAATGGGCACTTGGTGGCATTTGTTACTTAAGCATTAGCTAGTGGGATTTTGTGTTTGGTTTTCTTGGTCTTCCCCACACACACTTTATGAAAGGGCTTTATGAAAGTTTTACCATTCATAAAATGCTGAGTTATCAGTCTTTGTGATTCTTTTCTACCAAACCTGGATGCAGTATGGGAAATAACAAATAACCAGGCACGTATTTTAATGAGAATTGGTTTATTTTAGCTACAGAGGCAAGAAATGCAGAGGCTTCAAATCACGTGTGAATTGCCCTGCCCTTCTCCACTCCAGCTGGAACAAACCCCTCTCATATCAAAACACTCAAACCCCTGGAAAACCCAGTGCACTGCTGGCATTCCTACAGAAACTGAGGCTCAGGGTTTTGTTGGATTTGGAAGACAGCAGGTAGCTGTTATTGCTAAAGCTCAGAGGTTGTAAAGGAGAACTTGCTGCCTTTGCTGCTGGTCTGTGTGCCTGTATTTGAATAGTTATGGGAGGTTTTAATTGTGCTGCTTTCATCTGACTGAGAAAATGTTTTACTCATCACAGAAAGAGAACTTATTTGAAACCTGATCCACATGTACTTCCTGCTGGACAGGCTGTAGGAATTAGGAAGTTGCCATCACACTTGTGCTGTGGCTGCATTTCTTGTTGCAGAAATCTCGTGAAGATTTCATGAATCTTCAAGCTTGAAGATTCATGGAATTGCTTTTTCTCCTTCCTCCTGACTTGGCCTCTGAGGGTCTCAGATAGGTTTGGTCTTATCTGCTGCTGAGGTCTTTGTCAAGCCAATGTGACATTCAGGTCCTTGTGAGTAGGATGGGGGAAAGAGAAAATTATGTCAGATACATTAGGAAATTTAATGAATTTTCTGTTGTTACTGTTTCTTTGTGTTTTAGTTACATTCATTTTCATGGTAGACTTCTTCTGTAGATATTGTGATTATAGAAATCTCCACATCTTAGGTATTCTTCTAAATTTTAAAGCAAATATTTCCGGGAAAAAAACCTAGAATCTTTACATCAAAGAAGGGGCTAATAAAGTTAAAGGCCTTTTCAGAATCATGAGGGGGAAAACAAACAGGTAAAGTGATGGGTTAGTGCCAGAGAGTTGTGGCTCAGCAGTGCAGTGCTGCTGAAAGGGGAGAAACTGCACATAAAAATCATATAAATTATATAAACTAAAAATTTATATGTTTGCTGACCTAAAAAAATCATTGTTTGAATCTTTGTAATTGATCACCAAAAGAACTAAGATGTGTGATAACTATTTGAAATTATTATTATTTATTTTAGAAGATCTGAGTGCATGAGTGCTCAAAGATGTACTCTGCAATTATCTGCAAATAATAATTACTGTGGTTAACTAGTAAGAAATGACTTTATTTAACATTTTCACCTGGTACTTTAATTCAAAAAAACAGCACCCTTATTTATCTAACACTGATTTAAATACAGGACTGAATGAAGTTCATCAGAATTTTGACAAAAAGTCAAAAAACATCCTGCAGTGTATACATGTAAACTCTATTTATAATAAGGTAACATTTAATTTTTCATATATAAGGGATGATATGTAAAAAAATGTAATTCAGCTGTGCTTGAACACTTTCATAAAAATATTTCTGAAATAATTGTTTAAGGAATGTCTCCTTGAAGCTACAGAATTGCCTCTCTGTTGGCATACTTATGCAATGATATCTGAATATTTCCCAAGCACTTGTGTATTCATTTACCTGCAGCCATTACAAAGTAGGGAAGAGCTAATGGCCCTACTTCATAGACAGATTAGACAAATTTTCTGAGGTCATGCAAGAATTTTTTGATAAAGCACAGACTAAAAGCTAAGCCTCAAATCCCAGGAAAGTATTTCATCTTTCAGATCATTCTCCTCTTTGTGGCTCTTCATGGCAAAATAGAAACATTAAATCCTCCTAAAAAAGCCAAAAAACACTCGTACACAAAAAACTCCAAACTAACCAACGAGAAACACCACAAAATCCAAAACCAAACTAAAACAGCCCTAAAACCCAACAAACAAACCCGCATAAGCACTGGAGCAGAAATCATTTGACTGTATAAAGATGTCTCTATTGGTGCACATCAGCCTAAACTGAACATTCCACGATCAATGGAGGGAAAAAGAGAGTTTTCAAGTTGTGATTCATCTGCTTTAAGTATATAAAATGAGAC